GTATTTTCATACACACAATTTAAATATAAATGTTTTGTTTGCTCATTACATATTAAAATAAAACAGAAATATATTTTTATTTATATATATTTTACTGGGTAGAAAGACTGGTATAGTTCTATAAAAGGCTTCATAAAATCAATGATAGGTGGATGTGTACTGTAGATCAATTAAAACCAACGGCCACTATTCAATACTCCTACTACTCGACCTCTCCGCGGCTTTTGACACGGTTGACCATCCCCTCCTCAAAAAAAAAACTCCACTCTCTTGGCCTCAGAGACTCCGCTCTCTCCTGGTTCTCCTCCTATCTATCGCAGCGCTCCTTCAGTGTTACCTATAACGCTGCCACCTCCTCTTCACTCCCTCTCTCTGTAGGGGTCCCTCAAGGTTCTGTCCTTGAACCCCTTCTCTTCTCCATCTACATCTCCTCCCTTGGTCACTTGATAAACTCCCACAGCTTCAATTACCATCTCTATGCTGATGACACGCAAATCGGTCTACACCTCACCTCACCCCCCCTTCAGTCTCCACCCGCATCGTTAGCCTACTAAGTGACATATCGGACTGGATGTCACTCCACTTCCTCAAACTCAACCTTTCCAAAACTGAGCTCCTAGTATTCCCCCCAGGCCGGACCACCCCCACTGACTTCACCATAAATATCGCTAACACCATTCTCAGTCCATCCCCTCACGTCAGGGTACTAGGTGTAATCCTAGACTCCCATCTGTCCTTCCAGCCCCAGATCCAATTGCTGACACAATCATGTAGACTTTACCTCCGCAACATTTCCAAGATACGACCGTTCCTAACCTCGGAAACCACTAAGCAACTTATTCACTCCCTTGTCATTTCATGCCTCGACTATTGTAACTCCCTCCTCATTGGCCTACATCATCGCAGACTATCCCCCCTCCAGTCTATCATGAACGCTGCTGCCAGACTCATCCACCTCACTAACCGCTCTGTATCTGCCTCCCCTCTCGGTCAATCCCTCCACTGGCTCCGAGTTGCACAATGGGTAAAATTCAAAACACTAACAATGACATATAAAGCCGTTCATAACACTGCCCCAAATTACATCCCCGATCTTATCTCTAAATATCACCCAAACCGTACACTCCACTCCTCGCAAGACCTCCTCCTCTCTAGCTCCCTTATCTCCTCCTCCCATGCTTGTCTCCAAGATTTCTCCAGGGCATCACCCATCCTCTGGAACTCCCCAATCTATCAGACTATCACCTACTCGACTTACCTTTAGGCGATTACTGAAAACCTATCTCTTCAGCTAAGCCTATCCCGCCCTCTGCTAATGCTGGAATCCTCTACTCTTCCAACCATTCCATCCCCCACAGTGATTACCTATTGTACCATTCACCCCTCCGTCCTAGATTGTAAGCTCCAAGGAGCAGGGCCCTCAATTCCCTCTTGTATTGAACTGTAATGTTGCTGTATGATCCTGGCGAAGCTACAAGGGGCGTGGCGTAACGCGTAGATGTGACGTAGTGACGTGGTGACGCACTTCCGGTCTAGCACCATCTTGCTACACCAGAGTGCCTCAGTACACCCATGTGAGGTGTCACAAGCCCTATCTGTTTCTGCTTAAATGTGAGTTGTTACTTGGCGGTTTTATTCAGAATAAATGTTTTATACAGTTTTGCACTATGGAGGATCTTTGTGCTCTTATTCCATGACTATCATCACCCCATGAGTTTAAAAGCATATATACAGCGGTACCTGTCCGGGGGAATAGCAGAAGGTGAAGGAGAGAGCATTGGAGAGTGTGGAGTACCTTTCACCCAGAGGAAGCGTGCAGGGTCCAGGTGTGACCCGTAAGGCTTTTTGGCCCCTGTGGGTCGCAGGGGGAAGGGGATGTTTATGGAGAGGCACCTGTCCTAGTACCGGGAGGTATTATCTATCAGAGGAGGAGAGTCGCCACCACTATTGCTGAGGAGGATTCCACGGCTTTGGAGGAGCAAAAAGAGGCACTTTTAGCTCATTGGTCCTGAGGGGCCTAGGCAGGAAGGTGAGGGGGCACCCCTGTCACTGTGGATTCACACTCAGTTTGGAGCACCTGCATGAAGATTTGTTGTGTTTCACTTATTAGGACACTCAAGGACTTAGTATTGCTAATGTTACTGGGAGTGACCACAGTACTATATTCTTATAAGGGATAAGATATATTATTGATTTAGCATATATTATATGTTCTTTTGTAGTGCTGCACTGTTTTATGTTTTTCATTTTCTAAATGTTGCTGTATTGTCTCCCACTATAATGTAAAGCGCTGAGCAAACCGTTGGCGCTATATAAATCCTGTATAATAATAATAGATCAAATCAACTATTTAAATTGGTGCTATTTCTAAATCCAACCAAAAATACGCTCAATTTAAAATATGCTGCCAAATATAACAAATTGGCAATAAAGTGCTAGCACTTTGTGAACTGACACTACACAGCTACAGAACAGTTTTCCCCTTTAAAAAAAACAAACAAACAAAAAACATAGGTTAACACTTAAATGTTCCTATCCACAAAGAGTGTGTGTGTTAAGAGACTCTGTTACCAACCTAAAAACCACTGAAGCCAAGAATAAAGAAATAAAATCAATTATTTTATGTTTGTTTTTCAATATAATTATTTAATTCCAATGTGCTTAAATTTTGCTAGAAAATGTAAATGCTCCAGAAAGACTTAATTCCCTAGTACTGCCCCTACTTCTTTGCATAGCACAGCCCTCTCCTCTTCTTAAAGTGTCTATTTATTGTCTGTGCTGACCCAGCACATCTGCCCCTCCCCTTCTGCTCTTTACATAATGTTTTTATGCAAGGAAGGAGTGTGTGTGTGTGTGTGGGGGGGGGGGGGGGGGGGGGGGGGGGGGAGGATATAAGAGTGCAATACAAATTACAGATTTGAGTTGGGTAGGTTGCTGACATCACTGTTAATATCCAACAGCAGTCTAAAAAATATATAAAAACACACACACACATTAATATTACTAATAATAAAAAAAAATACACATCCATACTTTAAGGGCATATTCATACCGGAACATGACGCAGGAAACCCACATTCTGTGTACATTTCCTACACCGTGTTTCAAACACACCAGGTGTGCAAGCTGCTGCACGTGTCAACAGATTCCTAATAACACCCTAAACTCAGAACGCAGTGTGTTTGCGCGCACCGGATCACATGGTACCATGCAATCCGGTTGTAGTGCGTTTTTTAAACAGTAGTGCATGCACCACTTATGGTGCAATTTCAACACATTCAAATGAGCGCATTTCTGTGTGATTCCACTGTGAACTAGCGCTAAAAAAATGAAGATGTGGCACAAAGTGTAACCAATCATGTTTTTCATCATGCACCTACAATGGATAAAATGACAACTCAATCGTTAAAGGACACTGCAGGTAATGACTGCTATAGGTGTAAAAGATCACACCAAAAAAAAACCAAAAAAAAAACCTGCACACACACCTCTATTGGAGTCCCGCTCATACATAGCATCTCATTCAACCATAATTCTGCAGATTGAAAACACTTGAAAAAGCTAATAATCAAGACGCTTAAAACCGCAAAGAATATAATGGAAACAGGCAAGTGAATGACAAGGTTTCTTTATTTGAAAATAATATTATGTAAGTACAGAATTGGTGAATTAGGACTAAAATTGGCCATGACTAAGCCAAAGATGATGGCATCCCTGAAAATGACAGCGAAAATAACAAAATAACACCGTATGTTGTTTCATAGCATGTTTCCACCATTATAGAAGCAAACTGCAATACGATCTGCAAGACGTTATATAAATCTACCGTATTAACAATTTATAGTAAATTGATCAAACAGGTGGCAGATCTTCAGCGTTAAGATCTGCACAATTAAAAGATTTAATGTCAGCGCCCAGAGCACATGCTTTGCAGGACACTTACCTTCCACAATAAGTGGCATATGGATGTCACACTGAAATCTGCTCATAGGTATTAACCCAGCAAGGTGCAGCTTACAGTACTGCTCACACAGCCCCTGACACTCTGACAAGTGCTGACAAATGCCAAGCCACACCTGCTGAGAATGGCACATAGCCCTCTGTCCATCCCATGTTAAATTATTTTTAGCGATCATGATTTTTCCACTACATGTGATGTTTACAGCAAGTAATGACACTAATTACATTGTGCTGTGTACCTTATGTACTTTGCCCTTTTGGATTTTTTTTTTTTTTTAATAAAAGGAGAAAATGGCTGTTTTTTATTCATTTGTGAGAAATCCTACAAAATATTAGAATCTGAATAGTTGCTACGAACAAATCCCCATTTCTTCCATAGGTACATGTAGAACACACAAGTGGTCAGACTCTGTTATTTCCCATCATTCTAAAGGATGCATAGTGCAGTTCATTTACAGAGAGTTTTAGGTTTTACGTTTCAAAACACATACAGAAAGTTCAATAATCAACATTGTAAGAGTACAGGGAGACACAAATAAGGATACGGTGCAAAAAGGTAACCAGATTATGGTATATACAAAGGGCACAGAAAGGAATCACCTCCTTTAAAATAATTACATTTTAATGCTTTGCAGCCTGAAATGAAGACAGACACAGTTTTTGTTTTATCCAGCTGCAACTTATGACATCCAAGTGAAATATGTAACAGCAACATGTCATAAATTGTTTTTTGTTTTTTTTTTTTTTAAATCAAGAACAGAATAACGGAGTTGGAACGAGGGACACCCTCTATGTGTCAGTGTTTTGTTGAACCACCTTTTGCTTTAACCACTAGCCTACAGGGCACTTATACCCCCTTCCTCCCCCGGCCAATTGCCAGCGCTGTCACACTTTGAATGACAATTGCGCGGTCATGCAACACTGTACCCATATTAAATTTTTAATTTTTTTTGTGACAGATAGAGCTTTATTTTGGTGGTATTTAATCACCTGTGGGATTTTTTTTTCTTAAACAAACCAAAAACCACTAAAAATGTTGGAAAAAAAAAAAAATTTTTTCTTAGTTTTTGTTATAAAATTTTGTAAATAAGTGATTTTTCTCCTTCACTGATGTGCACTAATGAGGCTACAGCGATGGGTACTGATAGGCTGCACTGATGGACACTGATAGGTGACACTGATGGGCACTGATGAGGAGGCACTGGTAGGTGGCACTGATGGGCATTGGCAGGCATCACTGATGGGCACTGAAAAGCAGCACTCATATGGCACTGATAGGCGGCACTGATAGGTGACACTGACTGGCACTGTTAGGCGGCACTGACTAGCACTGTTAGGCAGGACTGATAGGCAGCACTGACTGGCACTGATTGGCATTGATAGGTGGCACTGACTGGCACTGATGGGTGACATTGAAAGGCAGCTCAGATGGGCACTGATGTGGCATTGATGTGCACTGGTAGGCACTGATATGTGGCATTCATGTGGCACTGATGGGCACTGGCAAGTGGCATGGATGAGCACCGACAGCTGTTACTGATGGACACTGACAGGTGGCACTGCTGGGGCTACACTGATCATCAGTACACATTTCCCCTCCGAGGAATGCAGATTACCGGCTCTCCTCTCCTCACGAGCTGTCAGCGTGACAGCTCGTGAGGAGAGAAATGCCGATAAGCGACATTTCCCTGTTTACATGCAATCAGCTGTGATTCGGCTCTTTCCGTGGATCGGTGATCAGCTGTGTCCGAGGGATACAGCGCACCGCCGATCGCTGTGCACTCCCGGAGCCGTGCATGCGCGGTGAGAATGGGAGGACGTCATATGACGTCTTCCCAGAACGAGAGAACCGCCTTGTGTCCGTCATTTGACTATATGGCGGGCGGGGGGGAAATTAATTACAGCCTTTAGTTTGTTGGGATATGTCTCTACTAACTTTGCACATCTAGACTTTGCAATATTTGCCCACTCTTCTTTGCAGAACTGCTCAGGTTCAGCTAAATTTGATGGTGACTGTGGAATGCAGTGTTTAACCCCTTGACGCTGAGCACACGCAAATATGCGGCCTCTTGGCGTCTGCACCTCTTGGCCACTTATTTGCGTGGAATTAGAAAAGACATATGTGCTGAGAGCGCACGCCATGCGTGCTCCTAGCACATATGTCCATGACTCACAGAAAGTTTCCGATCTCCCGGCTTCTAAAACTCTTAAAGGGCCAGGACGCGCTGGCGCTAAGAGCTTAAGACATTCCACAGATTTTCAATGGGGTTTAAGTCTGGGCTCTGACTAGGATATGCAAGGACATTCACCTTTTTCGCCTTCAACCACTGTGTGGTCATTTTTGCTCTGTGCTTTGGGTCATTGTCATTGGAAGGTAAACCTTCTTCCCATTGATGCCTTTCTGGCAGAGGACAGCAGATTTTCCTAAAGAATTTGACTGTATTTTGCCTCATTCATTTTTCCATCTATCCTGACAAGTGCTCCAGTCTCTGCTGCAGAGAAACACCCTCATAACAGAATATTACCACCTCCATGCTTTACTGCAGGAATGGGGTTATTTGGATGGTGAGCTGTATTGGATTTCGGACATACATATTTACCGTTGAGGCCAAATAATTCAATTTTACTCCATAACACCTTTTTCCATGTAGCCTCAGAATCTTCAAGGTGCGTTTTGGCAAAGCTCAGTCATGACTGCATGTGGCCTTTCTTGGGGAGTGTTTTTTTTTTTCTTGCAACCCTCCCATACAAGCCACATTTGTGGAGAATTTGTGATATTGTTGTCACATGCACACAATGACCACTCTTTGTCATAAATTCCTGCAACTGCTTCAGAGTTGTTGTAGGCCTCCTGGTAGCCTCTCTGACCAGTTTCCCCCTGGCTTTTTCATCTAGTTTGGAGCAACGTCCTGATCCAGGGAGGGTCTGTGTTGTACCAAATACCTTCCACTTTTTCCACTTCACTGTGCTTCTAGGCATTGATAAAGCCTCCACAAGCTCATCCCAGAGATCTTTTGACAGTGCCTTGCCACCCAGAGTTTATTGTTTGCTTCAGTTGCACTACCAGGGACTCAAATGCTCCAGGAAAATTGGAGGGGTGATCATTTTTCCAACTCGGTGATTTTGGTTTTTGCGTTTTTTTTTTGTCTGACATGTTGGTGTTATATCTTTAGTTTGCTTTCACTTGGATATTATAATTTGCACTGAGTAAGTACAGCCGGATAAAACAAAAACTGTGTCAAAGCAACAAGGGGGTGATTCTTTTCTATACCCAATATATATACACATACGGTTAAAATAAGTATTGAACTCAGGGATCCTCTCGATCCCCGCCGCGATGGTCCCGGCGCAGGCGCAGTGTGCCGCCCTGTGCAGGGACTCGAGCACTAGGTCCGGGCCGGCCGCGGCGTTCGAGTTCGCGCGCATGCGCAGTAGAAGCCGCGGCCGCCCGCTGGGCACCAATGGCAGCGCAGGGCGGGATATTTAAACGACCCTGAGCTGTCATTCAGTGCCTTCTGGTCTTACCTGTATCCTGTATCTGCGAACCTGTGTATTGTAAGTTGCTGACCCGGATTGTACCTGACCTTGCTGTATTTCTCCTGCCCTGACCCTTGCTTTGCCTGACCTCTCTCCTGAATGCCCCCTATTGGATTTGACCTGCTGTTGCTGACCTGGCGTGTGACCCGACCATTCTATGCCCGCTGCCTTGTACCTTGCCGTCCTCTCTGTTACCGACCCGGCCCGTCTGACCTTGCTCATCCATCCATCCATCCCGTGCAGTGGGGTCTGCTGACCTCCTCATATCAGACTCTTCCCCGTGGGAGCCCTTGGCGCATACCACTACCACTGACGGACGCACCCAGTAGCCACGACCTGGTCTCAGGGGGCTCCAAGTCCATCCCCACCATCAGGGGCCCTGGTGAACAAGCACCCTGGGACTTAGACTCCGTGCGCTGGGGACGCCTATTCAGTGGAGTGCTAGTGGTACCGCCAGGCGGTCCCTTACAGTACCAGAAGGCCATGACTGAGTCTAGAGGAGGGCCCTCGCCGCTTGAGGAGATCTGCAGGCACCTGTCTAACTTGACACAGGCCGTATCGGCCCTGCAGGACAGATGTCAGCAGATTGAGAATCACTTCCAGACCTGCACTATATCCGTTTCTGCCCCACAGGCCGCGGGTCCCCGCACCCCCGGCCGTAGCAGCCCCTGTGCCGGTTTCTGGGGCATCCGCCCCACTCCCGGCGGCCGAACCCCGAGTACCCTTACCGGAACGTTTTCACGGGGACCGCACACGCTTCAGGTCATTCCGTGAGTCCTGTCTCTTCTCTATTTTGAGTTGCAACCACGAACCTTTGTGACTGAATCCGTGAAGGTGGGGTTCGTCATCTCCCTCCTGCAGGGTGAACCCCAAGACTGGGCCCACCGACTGCGGGGGAAAAAATGACCCTCACCTCAGTTCGGTTGACAATTTTTTTGACGCAATGGCCATCCTATACGATGACCCACAGCGGGCAGCTTCTGCTGAAGCTACTTTGTACACGCTCCGGCAAGGCCGCCGAGCGGCGGAGGAGTACGCGTCTGAATTTAGGCGCTGGATGGGGGACACACGCTGGAACGAGTTTGCTCTCCTGCATCAGTTCCGTATAGGCCTATCAGAAGGCCTGAAAGATGAGCTCGCCCGGGTGGAGGTGCCTGAGACTTTAGAGGACTTAATTGCACTGACTATTAAGATTGACCGTAGACTGCGGGAACGCAGGTTTGAGAGGTCCGCCAGGGTCATGGAAATCCCTGGGGGTCATTTCAAGGTCCCAGTCAAGCACCTAGGCCAAACATCCAGAACCGGCCACCTGGAGATATCCCTGAACCTATGCAACTCGGCCTGGCACGGCCTAAACTATCTCCAGAGGAACATCAGCGCAGACGATCCCAGAACCTGTGCCTCTACTGTGGTGAAGCTGGTCACATGGTACGATCCTGCCCGCAGAAACTGAGTAAGTGCACCTCTTCTTCCTTGTCCATTGGCAATGTTAGTCCATCCCAATACTTAGTGGTGCCCCTTTCCTTTCAGCTTCCGGAAAGGACCGTGGAAGTATCGGCCATAGTTGATTCGGGGGCATGCAGCTGCTTCTTGGACATTAATTTTGCTCACCAGCAGGGTATTCCTCTCCAATTGAAACAGAAGGGGTTCAATATTTATTTGGCCGACGGTTCCCGGATAAAATCAGGGGTAGTGAACCAGGAAACCCCCTCCATCGCCACTGTCATTGCCGGCCAGCACCAGGAACTGCTCCGCCTGGATGCTATAGCTTCACCCCTCTTCCCAGTCATTTTGGGGCTCCCATGGTTACGGGCCCATAACCCCCAAATTGACTGGGAGACCGGAGTAATTTCGTTCCCTTCTCCATACTGTCGGGTATACTGCCGCACTTCGGGCCCGGGGGTCCCCCAAATCCTCCTGTGCTCTGAGGGGGAAGCCGAATTAAAACAGGTAATCCCGGCAGCCTACCATGAGTTTCTAGATGTGTTCAGCAAGCGGGGAGCTGATACTCTACCCCCCCACCGCCCTTATGACTGTCCCGTTGACCTGTTACCCGGTTCAGAAATTCCTTTTGGGCGAATCTTCCCCCTTTCAGAGCTCGAATTGGGGGCCCTGAAGGAATATATCGAGGACAGCCTCCAGAAGGGGTTCATCCGCCCCTCCACTTCACCGGCGGGGGCGGGAATTTTCTTTGTTGAAAAAAAGGACAAAACCTTGAGGCCGTGTATCGATTACAGGGAGTTGAACAGGGTCACGATAAAGAACCGTTACCCACTGCCGTTAGTACCAGAGTTATTCCAAAGTTTAAAAACAGCAGTGGTTTTTACAAAGCTGGATTTGAGGGGAGCATACAACTTGGTTCGCATAAGGGAGGGGGACGAGTGGAAGACGGCCTTCGCACCCGCTTCGGCCATTTTGAATATTTGGTCATGCCGTTCGGGTTGTGTAATGCTCCGGCCACGTTTCAACACTTTGTGAATGATATTTTTAGGGACTTCCTGGATGTCTTTGTTATCGTCTATTTAGACGACATTTTGATTTTCTCCCCTTCCTTGGGGGAACACAGAATACATGTAGCGAGGGTATTGGGGCGATTGCGGCAGCATGGGTTGTACGCCAAGGCAGAGAAATGTTGTTTCGAACAATCCAGCATTACTTTCTTGGGCCTGATTATCTCCACCGCGGGGGTCGCGATGGATCCCCAGAAAGTCGCTGCAATACTGGATTGGCCTGAACCCACGGACAGGAAAGGCGTCCAACGATTTATTGGTTTTGCA